CCCTCGCAGTGCTCCGGTCGGGGTTGGGGGACGGCGGCGACGCGGCCGCCGGCGTCGCCGTTGACGTAGGCCGGATCGGACGGTGCCGGAGACTGGGCCGCCAGGCGCCGCTCTCGCACCTGGGACAGCGCCGCCTGCGCGTTGAGGGCTGACGGGACACCAAGGACGTCACTCGTTTATTTGTAGCGGACCGCATCGTTGAGAAGAAGAAGAAAAAAAAAAAAAGTCCTCCAAACAGCCACCCGGAGTGACTCGAGACTATTCGATTGATGGCTTGAGCTCTCGTGTCAACCGTACGGTCCGCTCGATTCAAATGCTTTCATCCATAGATACTCAGAAGATTGACAGTCAATATCTTGCGAATCCTACACTCATTTCCAATCACTAGTTGGGGAATGAGACAATGATTCCCAACACACTCGCTTTGTGTGTGTGTGTGTGTCTTACCAGGGTTGTCCTTGTCAACATCAGAGTCCAGCTCCTGACACGAGACACAATAATTCTTGTGTGTGCGGTCCTGCAGCAAGATGGTCTGCAAAGACAAAACACTCCCAATGACATAAAATGCTCACGCGCACGCGTACCCACTTGTGTGTGTGTGTGTGTGTGCGCGCACGAGACTTACGCCGCACACGTCGCAGCACTCGCCCAGCATCTTGTAGCCTTTGAGGAGGTAGTCGCCCATGATTTTGCTGATCTGGTCCTGTCTCTCCCTGCGGGCCTGGATCAACTTCATCTCGGCCTCGGTGGGGGGCTCCCACTCCAAGTCTTCCTCCTCTGGCATCACGGGAGGAAGCAGGAAAAGACCACCGCGAATACCATGAGCAAGGAGCGCAGGGAGTACAACAAGATATTTTGCAAACAATTTGCGAGCATTCGCTCATTCTCAACTCCCCGATCGCAACAACGTCGAGTAGAAATTTCGCAAATTGAACCCAACGCATTCCCAGTTTTGGCCACGGCACAGCGACTATTTTAAAGACACCAAATAGAAGCTCATCCTCAAAACCGCAGTATATGCAATTGGGATGGGCAAGTGCCAGGGTTACCACACTTAAATGAAAACAAATATACATGTATAGAATAAACAGTTAAAAAACCCAAAACCGAAACTACATTTTATTACTCTAGTCATATTATCCTTGGTTTTTATTCATTTTATTCTTGCAATGATACAGTTCTTGCCATCTTCTGCTGTATTTTAGTACGTCGTTTGTACAGTATAATGCTTAACTAAGAGGAGTCTTGATGATTATTTTGTGATGAAAACGTCAATTTAATATTTCTCGTCATTTTCAAATGACGACTTTGGGTCTGCGGAGATGGATGCATCGCTTTAGCATGGTGACTGTCCAGACTTTCACGAGGTATTACAAATAATGAACATCATTGCTCGGCGTGGTCTGTGCTTCGCGAGTTTTCCCACGACTGGCAGGCTTGTGAAGGAAAAAAAAAAAAAAAAGTGGCGACAGCTCGGAAATGGTCAAACTCGGATTCAACAGAGCGGGCCAGGCGACCTCACTACGTTGGCCTGAACAGGAACTCGGAGAGCCTTTGATCCGGCGAGAGAACACCACTTTGCTCCGGTGCGCGCGACGAAGCGGTGGCCAGGAGCTAGCTAGCAAAAACGCGCTAACGTTAGCCGAGGCAACCAAACGTCGAGTTCGCCAAAGTCAAGCGACAGTCGTCGCGAACCGAAGGGTTCGCGACGAGCGTCGCTTGTCTCGGCGGCTGCGAATCGGCAGGCAGACAAGCAAGGAAGCAAGCAAGCAAGCATGCGAGCAAACAACAACCAACCTCCATGAAGCGACATGTTGCTGCGCGGCGCCGGACGCACGTTCGGCGTCGTGACGTCACGAGCGTTTTCCTCACGGCCGCAGGCCAGCGTCCGCCCTGGACCGCTGCCGCCCCCCGCCGGGCTCCGGCTCGAACTGCAGGATTGCATCATGGGGAAAAGAATGATCCCGTTTTCCAATGTTTACCAAGACGTTCATACAGGACTTTAATATACGTTCAAATGCGTTTGCCGAATACAAACGAACGACTTTACCCACTCGTTCGAAGGACACCGACCGGTCAAAGATGTTTCCTCACATTGGCAATTCCACACTTCCGGAATAACTCATACAACTCTAAGTACGTTTTTGTTAGCCTACAAGTGTTCATTTTGAAGTGATCAATAAAAGAAGCACTTTTGACTGTCGGTCATCCAGCTGACGCAATTAGGAACAATACAAGTCAAGTGACCGCACCACTGCCTCTTTGTGAAACTTGAGCTCGTTTGATAAAATGTTGGAAAATGCAATTATGCATGTGTCTTCAGCCACTCGGGGTTCAACAGGGCTCCAAATGCTGCAAGAAGATGGAGACCCCTAACAGTTGGCTGGGGCCCCATCACCACTGCATCCCGGAGGGCGGCGACCCGGTCTCCGTCACCTCGACGGCCGAGGAAAACTTGGTGAAGGCGCAAATGAGCGACCGCCCGTTCTGGATTGGACTCTCCGACTCTGGAAGCCCAAGGTGCCGTTGATTCTGTCCTGGTACTCACTTGAAAACTGTGAATGCTCCCAACAGAAATGCAAATAGGTCTGGTGTAAGTTTGAAACGGGAAGCCCAAAGTTGGCGATGGTCGGCGGTTCGGGTTCCGCTGTGGAGTTTCTCTCAGGCTGACCTGCGGACAAACAGGCCAATGTTGGTCACAGACCCGACACTGATTGGCCGCCGCTCGTTTGTCCAAAAGTAACGGAATTGTGGCTGTCCAACATTGGACCCCAAGCACCACCTCATATAATACTTGGCTCTCCAAGTACCCAATATGCCATGTCGTCGTCCTGTTGTCATTCAGATTGTCGTCCGGTGTGGCATCGACGCTTTCAAAGCGTTTGTCAAGGGCGAACACTCGGTGGAGGACGTGTCGCGAGATGGGCAAAGCATCAGGTGGCCCGAAGCGCTTGGTGGCGTAACCTTGAGTGAAAGCAAGCGGGCATATTCCAGCTGACTTTTTCCAGTTGCCCACGCACCCTCACCGGAAGCTCAATTCTCACATTAAATACACACACACACACACACACACACACACACACACACACACACACACACACACACACACACAAAAGAATGCAATTTGTGCTTTGAGCAGCCTTCTAAGAGTATCAGAATCAGATTTATTGGCCAAGTATGTCAAACACGCAAGGAATTGACTTTCCCAGTTACAAGCCGCCAAGTTAATATCCTCTCACACGTGACAAAAAAACCTTCACACGAAGAATCTTTCACATTCACCCATAAACTCACCCGACAATTTTCCCCACTTGCCAGAAAAACTCTTATGCTTGCCAAATATATTGTCATAGGCAAAAAAAAAAAAAAAATCACACATCAACATCATGAACCCAACCCCCCCCCCCAAAAAAAATAACTCGCTCAGAACAAAAACCTCTCACGCACATCGGAAATATCTCGCCAGAGGTGATGACGTCGCCTCCACCGCATAATGACGGGGTCACCGCTGCATGGTGATGACGTCACCTCGTTTGACACGTCAAGACATCCAAAAGAGACGTTGGGGATGAGCTTTGAAAGTCTGCGAATTGTAACCGTGGTAACAATAAACAAACGTGCGGCAAAATGAAAGGCCGTTTGCCACCGCATTCTGGCATCCGTCAGCAGATCGGCATCAAGGCGCCATCAAGGCCGCCATCTTGTCCGGAGTGAAGATCTCGATCCAGTAGCCGTCGGGATCCTGGATGAAGGCCAGACCTTTCCTCTTGCCTGCCGACGACCCAAAACCATCGTCACAAGCACTTTGAAAAATCTCATTGCAGTCATTAGTAAGCCCAATGGAATTGGTCGATGTTAGCTCTTTTTAAACATCTTTTGGAAATTAGTCCGCCGATTAACTGGTGATCTTCATTTCGCTCATCTACGTCGGCCTCATTCGATGAGTCGTTTCAGTCGTCGACTTGACTGTCATCTCCGGTTGATAAATCACCGCCACGTTCGCAATGTCATTCCCAACTTCCCAGTCACTTTGACAACATTTTTTTGTGGACATTTTAAGGAACTATCAAAGTCCGCTACCCAAAAAAACCCCACTCGTGTTTACGTTGCGTGCGTTTACCAGAGTGCGGTTTCTTGATGAATCTGACGCCCAAAGATTGAAACAAGTGACAAGCGATGCCGACGTCGGGCACGGCGATGCCAATGTGACCTTGGGATTTAAAAACAAACAAACACACAAATCCTTCCCAAAAATGTCGAATTCAATTGAAAAGATGAGAAAGAGCAGCTGCAGTTCTCACCGAAGCCGATGGGGTCGCTGTTTCCGTTGTGGTAAGACAAACTTGCGTTCGACTCTGAGCCCCAGTTACTGCGACGTGGGGTGGGGGCCACACACACAAATACAATGTGAATAATATAATTTGTTTTGTTGAACGTTTTTTTTTTTTTTTGCGCGCGAAATAAAAGGGAACCCCCCCCCCCCCCCAATTTGCGTGAGTGTGCGTTACTGGGTAAGCTCCAAGGTGGCTCGTCGGGAAAAAGTCCAGGCCGTCCTCTCCCGGATGTCGGACGGAATGTCGGCCTTGTTTTCGAAACCCAGGAAGTAAAGGCTGAAGCGTACCGACGGGAAGTCGATCTTCTGCAGCAGCCTGACTCACACACACGCACACACACACACACGCGAACGCACACGATGTCAGGCGGCGTGCGAGTTGGGAGTGGGAGGCTTCCAGCGGTGTGTCGACACTGACGTCATTCCGAGGATTCGCGTATAGAAGTCGAGGGAGCGAGCGGGATCTTTCACCCTCAGCATGGTCTGCTGCATCATGTAGTCCTAAAGGCAGCAAAGACAGGACCCCGCCGTGACGTCACTACCCCATTCGCAAAGCCACCTTGACGCCCGATCTGCAGGGAAAAACAACAATTCGGGTCCCCGCAACGACGCCGGGCCTGCCTCATTCATTCCAACTTGCCATTCGGAAAATTTGCAAATCAATGCAGGACATTTTTGCTAGCAAATTTCAAAAATCCTCAGACCAAATAACTAAGGATATCTTCAATTTGATGCCGACTCATCAAGGAAGCTTTTGACTTGGGGATTCGCTCTTGAGTCTCTTTTCAAATCGGAGCGGGACGGCGCGTGACGTGACCTTGGTGGCGGGATCTCCGTCCTTGCAGGCGTCCGCCACTGCTTCCTCCGACAAACCTCCTCTGTCCATGGCGCCGGCGCTCTGGAAGACTTAGGAAGATGTTTTGGGTTTTTGTTTTTTAAGTTGACTTTGGCGCGCCAGTTGGAACGTCTGTCCAAAGACGACAAGCGGACCGACCGTCTGCCTGCTTCGTGTGCCCCAAGGCGTGGCGTAGGCGAGCCTGTACAGGAATGCGGCTGCGTGTGTCAGCGTGTGTCCCGCGCTGGGCCGGCCCAAAACATGAGAACAATTGGAACATTTACGGGACAACTCCGCAGTGCTTGTATCACAGTTCTACGTCACAGATTTTGGAGGCAATCGTTTTTTTTCATGGCTTTTGACAGCACGCTTACTTACTATCATGCCCTTGCATGTGGGAAAGGAGAGCCATTTGTTGAACAGCAAAAACCCTAAATGCAGTGAGCAAAGTCATTATTAGTATCACAGGTGCTGCTGTTGGCCGCAGCTCACACACGCATCCACACACACACACACGCGCGCAAACACACACACACACACACACACACACACACACACACACACACACACACACACACACACACACACTCAATGGGTCTTGCACAAGTGTGTGAGAGCAAAAGTGATTCATAAAATGTTTTATATGGTCTCGTTGTATTGTGTGTTTTCATCCTCGTGGAGCATATCCTGGTGATTAGCGGAGTTTACTGTAATGTGAAAAAAATCAAATCAAAATAAAATCTCACGCAGCTGCTGCGATTGCTTCGACCAGGCATGTCCAGCTCCGGCAAAAAATATCTTCCTTCAGCTAAACACTGAGCGAACTGAAGTCAGACTCCTCTATGACTTCAAATAAAAATGTCAATAAAGTCAACTTCGCTTGTTGATCGAGCTACCGATGCCTAGTCTGTCAGTCTGCGACTCTGCTGCCCTCTGGTGCTCGCAGCGCCTCAGTGCACAAGGATGCTGCTGGTTACCAATAGCAACGAACCGCGGGTCTGTCCAAGAACAAGTTGTCTCGACGTGCAAACTCAGTCATGGGAGTTTGTGAAGATCGTATGTGTGTGTGTGTGTGTGTGTGTGTGTGTGTGTGTGTGTGTGTGTGTGTGTGTGTGTGTGTGTGTGTGTGCGTGCGTGCGCGTGTTCCTGTATGTGTTTGCTTTTCTTTTGTCTCGTTTGCCATTAAACAGATTCCTCGGCTGCGCAGGTCACGACACAGACCGCCGACAGGACGCTGAAAGCCCAGGAAGGAATGCGAGAGGATATGATGAAGAGTAAAAAAGAAGTTTCCGTTGTCTCTCTATCATATCCTTCGGATTGGTGAGATCAAATGCAGATGAGACACCAGACGACCTGAAATGCTCTGTTGAGACATCGTCGTGGTTTTTCAAGTGACGTCTGTCCCTCTTGGGGAACTTTTCTTTTCGATCTGGCCTTCTTAAAGGCACAGCCGAGAGCCTCGTCTTCCGCCTGGCTTCTTCTGTGACCGTTAACCGGCTCTAGGACCCGGGGGCGGACGAGCAGTCCAACGGACGTCCTCCCGCTCCCGCCCCCGCTCCATCCCGCGGCGGTCAGTGTACTCCGCTGCGGCCGCCCGGAGGCTCACTCAGGCCGGCCACGCTCGTCCCGACTTCGCCGAGCGGCGGTCCTCCCGGAAGACCACGACGACGACGACCAAGCGACGGAAGTGGTTGCCGGAGACCAAAAAGTGGACTTATGGAGCCCAAACGCCAAAGCGGTGAGTTTTCACGTGAACTTTGTGGAAGAAGTTGAGCTTCAACTTGACGTCACCTCGCCGCGACTTACGCGCTAGCAGCTAGCCGCGTTCGTCCGCGACAAGTTGACGTCATGGTTCCCTAACTGAACCCCAACGACGTACGGGCGAATTGAGTGTCGAAAGTCAGAAAAAGACTCGGAAACCGAGTGAGCGAGAGTGTCGGACGACGGTTGGCGGTCGGGCCGGAACCGTAACGGGCAGGGGAGTGACGTCAGACCGAATTTCGGCCTGCCAGCGGGTACAGTGACGTCATCAGAGGCGCGCGACAGTTGTTGAGTTTGGCGCTGCGGCGCCTCATTTGTTGCCGCTCACTCGCCTCCTTCTCTTTGGCGCTCGGCTGCGTCCCTGCCCACTTGCCTCCTTCCTCGCTCACCTCCATTGTCGCCCTACGCCCCCTGGTCTCCTCCCTGACCTCCTTCCCTTGGTCCTTCGGGTTCTTTGCCCGCTCACTTGCCTCCTTAGCGGTGCCCTCGCATGCGTTTCCTTGCTCCCGCACCTCCTTCCCCTACTCCTTCATTTCCTTTCCTGCTCCTTTGTCTTCTTCACCTCTCCCCCTTGTTTCCTTCACGCGATCGTCTCCTATTCCCTTTTCCGCCGCAACCTCCTCCCCTTTGCCCTTGCGACATTCCCCCGGCCCGTCTCATCTCTTTCCCTCTGCTCCCTTATTTCCTTCCCCTGGTCATTTGTCTCCTCTCCTCATCGCCTGGCCTCCTTCACTGCTCATTCAGGTCCTTTCCCTGCTTCGAAGCATCCCTTCTCTTCTCTCTTGCGTCCTTCCCCTGCTCCTTGCCTCCTGCCTTACAACTTTATCTCCTTCCCCGGGCCCCTTCCTCTTTCCTTGTCTCCTTCTCTGTCTCTGTGGTTTGATTGACAAAAGTGACGTGTTTTGGCTGGTTGTCATAGCTGCGCAGGTGGCTCAAATTCAAAATGAGGAGCCACAAAAACTGTGACGATGACGATTGGCTCTGCCAGGGTGCCAAGATGCACTCTGACCCCTCCGGAACCCCCACCCACTCCCCGAACAAAAAGGGGCAGTGTCAGGAAAAAGATGGAAAAGTGCACAACAGACGCTGTCATCATCCTTTGGTGTGAGAACATCACGATGACACTCGGACAATCTAAAATTGGAGTCGCATGGTTCCAGTCTCATGACTGTGTGTGTGGGGTGGGGTGGCGGGGGGGTTAACAAAGCAGGCTCTGTAGGCGAAGTGGGCCGCAAGCTGGTTGTACAGCTGATGTTTTTTTTTTTTTTTTTTTTTTGCCTTTCGACCCAAAAGAACCAACATCAGCCCCACGCAAACGTGGCGAGTCTTTGGCGGTTAGGACGAGGGCACTTTTTCGTCTGGTTTCGTGCGACAATGGCACACATCCGCCGAGCTGCATTTGCTCCCCAAAATGGCCACCGCGACACGGCGAGCAAATGCAGCCGTGGACGGCGGACATGCAGGAGTCATCAACAACCCCAGACAGGAAACTACAGCTGCTCGCCTACGAGGACGCGCCCGCCCACCCGCGCACGGGCACGCACTCTCACAGCTGCTGGCTGGATGCGCCAACGGCTGCTCACTCACACAACGCAGCTGCGGCGCGTTTGTGCGTCACGCCCCATTTTGGACCGCGTGCGTGCGCACGTTTGTCTCCGAGTTGCTTCGATTCTCCTTGCGATCTGTGAAAACAATGCGCAATTGTCTGAGCGTGCGCGCGCGAAGCAAGACGCCGGACGTCGCGACGCGGGCCCCCTACCGCGTTTTCCCTTTCCGGAGAGTCTGTGTGAAATTGCGTTGACGTCCTCCCTGTGAGACTTCCATGTTGGACTTTGGTCTTGAGCGCCCGCATGTCATGTCCACGTTGAACTTTTTTCATCTTCGGCAGCCGGCGATGGCCAAGGCTCTCCTGTCCCAACAGCACTTTGAAACACTAATCGATGCCTTTTGTCACGTCACCTGAGCTGTCTGAGCTCCTCCGCCCCTGCGCACCTGCCAAGCAGACGCGAGCGGAGGCGCCGAGGACAAAGTGGAGGCTGCGAGGGGACGGAGCCCGTTTGCCTGCCGGCCCCTCTTTTTGGAATGAACGTCCGGCAAGCCCCCTCGCTGGCCATCTTTAAAGCTTGTCTTCAAACTCATTTTTCCTCTTGAGACTTTTTTTTTTAGTTTATGGTTTTTGGGCTCTCTACCGTCTTCGCTCTTCATTGATTATTTTATTGTTTATGGTTGTACAAATGATTTTTGCTCACGTCCGGCACTTGCCGGTTGTTTTAAAGTGTTAGAAAAGAGCAAAAAAAAAAAAAAAAAAAAAGAAACGAGCTGGAGATTTCACAGGAGGAGTTTGAAATCCATTTTTGAGTAGAACAGCTGCCAACAAGTGAAGGCCGTCCCACGCCACAATAACCTCGTTGTCGCGGTCGCCGCTCGTGAACGATGACGACGGTCCGCCCTCTCAGCCGCTTTTCTTCTGCACTTTGACCTCTTTTCCTCTTTGCAAGGAAACATCCTGGCTGAAAGAGAAAGAGAGCAGGATGCGTCCGAGCGTGTGTCACGCGCTCAGACGCAGGATGTCAACTTTTGACATGAACACAATAACTTTGTTTGTTGCATTTCGTCAAAACGTCCACAACGGTTTTGCTAATCCGTCGTTGAGTCATCCGTTTGCTGTATTTTGTGGTGACGCATGTTTTGTTTTGAACTTTCGGTGACAATGTCAGTCCAAAAAAAAAAAAAAAAAGCAGCATGCTTACTAACAATTGCGTTTGCAAGATGACGGAGGAAAGTGTGCCAGGTGGCCAGCGATCACGTGATTGCGGAGTCAAGTGAATGATTGCCAACGCAGCGACATCACAGTTTGGGAATCGAGCCTCCCAAATGTTGCTTCCCTTGTTTTCTGTACTCGGGGGGGGCAAAAAAGTTATGACTTGTAGCACCATCTTGGTGTCAAGGTGCTCTCTTGAAGTGAGTTGAGGAGTTTCATCGTGGCAAAAGTCGTGCTTGCCACTTCCCGCGCCCCCTCCGGGATGTTGTGGCATCTATCGGCAATCGTAAGCGTGTCTGTGCAGAGGCGGTGGAGCGACTGGTCGGCGAGCTGGCCTCTTTGCTGGAGATGCTGGACGGCGAGAGCCTCAGCGCCGCCGCCGCCCACAAGATGGCGTCCGTGCGCAACATCTTGCACACGCTGCAGGCGTCAGGTATCCTCATCTGGGACATTTTAGGCCCCGTCCCATCCCTTCCCGTCCACTGGCAGGTTCCGTTTTGAATCGAAGGCCAGAGAATCTCGTCTACGTTCTCTGCAGGCGCCGGCTCGGACGTGTACGTCAACAGCGGTCTCGACGGCAACGGCACCAGCTTCGTCGAGTCCTTGTTCGAGGGCTTTGGTGAGTCCTTCGACGTGTCCTCGCGCGAGGCCCAAATAAAAGTCCCGTAACCGAGTCTTTTGTTGAGTTGATCACATCTGACCCAGATTCAGTCATCTTTTTGTTTGTTTCCTTTTGTTTTTTTGATTAAAATGTATTTGGAATGGGTGTCTCTTATACATGGAGTTCCTATTGATCATAAACAAATGTTTTTTTTTTTTTTAACCTTAAATCACTTTTTGTCAAGAAACGTTCAAATCATTTTGCCAATTTGGAAAGGACTTTCTTATCGATCGTGTGGTGATGTTGATGTCATCGCTTGCGTCACCAGACTGCGATCTGCACGCGCTCTGCACCTCCCCCGTCCTCCAGAGGGAGGAAGAGGAAGAGGAGACACACGGCGACAAATCTGTAAGTTGTCCGTCCGCTCTCGTTTCCGTCATACGCGCTAACTTGCTGATGAGCGCTTCGGCTTGCCGCCCTCAGACGCCCACGGACACGCCCCCTCCGGTGCCTACCACGCCCCTCCCGGAGGACTACTACGAGGAGGCCCTTCCGCTGGAGCCAGACTCGGCCCCCCAGTACTTCACCACCGACACGGACGGTGGGCGCGCGTCGGCCTTAACACACATTCGGGGCACCAAGGCAACGTGACGAGTGGCTGGCAAGTTGTTGCGGGAATTGTCGGAAAAACATAGCCCGAGCGTTCCATTTCGAAGGGCTCGGCATTTTCGCTCGCTGTCGTTTTGATGGAAGTTTGTCACGTTGCCGCACAAATGTACAAAGCGGAGGGTCTCGCGGCGCACGTTGATGCGCTTCCATCTTGGCGCCGAGGGATGATGTCGACGCGACCAAAGTCGCGCTTAACGGCAATGACCGACGTTGAGGTGATCGGAGGAGCCTCTTCTAGACAAAAGTCGTGCTCCAAGAACAACGTGGAAAGAAGTTGATCTCCCCTCCTCCTCCATTGTCACTGAGGAAACTCAAATGGACTTTATTGACCCGCCAAACCTCCATAATTGCGATCAGAGCGTAGGAATTGGTAAATGAGTCCCAACGCAGCCATCGTGACGTCGGCGCGCTTGAGTCGTTCTTCTTGGTTTTCCACGGCAGCTCACAGAAACTCTGAGGAAGACGCCTACTATGAAGATGCAGACAACAATTACCCCACCACCAGGATCAACGGGACTCCCCAAAACTCCTGTGAGTCCTCTTGGCTTCTTTCCGCTCGGGAATACGACCTGCATGTTTGGAAGTGACCAGTGCTCTGTGTTCCCCTGCACCAAAAAAAAAAAAAAAACCCAGCAGCATCACATAGAAGCAGAACATGCAGCAATACTCTGAGACCGATGCAGTTGCCCCCAGAGCCGAATTTGAGAAGCAATGCTTTCGGTGTGTCGTGCATGCGCTCAGATAACGACTCGGACGCAGTGAGCAGCTCCTACGAGTCCTACGAGGAGGACGACGAGGCCAAAACGCAGAGTCCTCCTCCCAGGTGGAGCGCCACGGATGGAAGCGCGGACGCTCCGGTCGGCAACTGCCGGATTTGCGCCTTCCTGCCGCGGAAGAAGCGATTCGGACAGTGGGCCAAACAGCTGGTGGTCGTGCGAGATGACAAGCTACAGGTGAGAGAGACACGAAGGAAGGGCTGAGACAGCCAGAGAGATGAAAAGACAAGAGAGTGCGTGCTTCTCAACTGTTTCTGTGTGTGTGCGTGTGCGTGCAGTGCTACAAGAGCGTCAAGGAGAGCACCCCCCACACGGAGATTCCGCTGGGCCAATGCAGCGTCCTCTACGTCAACAAGGACGGCCGCAAGAAGAAAAGACACGAGCTGCGCTTCTCTCTGCCCGCCGGAGAAGTTCTGGTGCTGGCCGTGCAGAGCAGAGAGCAGGCCCAGCGATGGATCAAGGTACGCACGCTCAGGCGCGCGCCTACACCTGCGGGAGGCCGTCAAGGGGAGACCGCGTTGGCCATTGTTCGCTCTTTCCCTACTCGCTACTCACCGCAAAGGACAATTCCTCTCTGAACTCGACGGCCGCTCGACAGGCGCAATCTGTGTGTGGCCGTCGGGGTGCGCCGGGCGGGATGGGAAAAGGGGCGGCGTCCCGGGGAGAGCCCGCAACTTCCATCCGAAATAACCGAGCCGTAAAAAAACAGCATCTCGGAAGACGCTCTCCCGTTTCCGGCTTTTACAAAAGGAATTCAACCTTGCAGGCGGTGCGAGGTGTTGGCGACGATTGCGGCAACGCGGACGCTCTCGACGCATCGACTCCTCCCGTCGTTCGGGGGAAGACGTCGCTTGACAAGGTGCGTCATCCTCCTCCTCCTCCGCCGCTTCCCTTTCCCGGTGACGGTCACGCGTATCCCGCGTGCCCCGACCCGTTTTTTGTCGATGGCCTCGAGGAACTTCTGCTTTCCCTCAAATGGCCGTTTGGAGAATTTGAAATCAGAAGTCACGGGAAAAAATCTGGCGAGCAGCGACCGCCAAATCCAACGACTGCTCGGGATTTTGGCCAGCGGTCATCGGAAGACGGCAGACCTCCCCCGAGGCCGTCGCCGCATTTCAAAGTAACAAAGTGAGAAAATGATGGCGAAGCCTTCCCGCCTCAGATGCCGCAATCCGACAGACACGCGTCAGACTCCGACGGCGGGCCCGCCGCAGACTGTCAGTCATCCGCGCGTGGAGCGGCGCCGGGATCGTCGCCGGGACCGGGACGAGACGCCGCCGACCCGCTCGGTAGGTCGCCGCCCCATCGTCACGTTGGGACGTCACGAGTGCCGACCTGTGACCTGCGCCGATGCGCTTGAGGCCTCCCATTTCAGTTGCTCAGTAGGCGCCGTGCCGAATAAGAATCTTGCCGGAGGCTCTTTTGTTGCGCCGCTTTGTGGCGTGAGGGGGTGACAGGAAGGGAGGCGGGAGCACATCGGATGTCCTTCCCGCCCACTTCCCGCGATTGTGTCGCCAAATCACAAATAGTCGTGGGGGAGCTGAGAACGACTGATTGATTGGCCATTCGCCGAGGCAAGAGTCCCGGCCAACCGTTATGGGGCCGTCGTATTTCAAGCCGCAAAAATGGAAAGCGGATCGACAAATGCCTGAGCCAAGTCACAAATGGGCAACGTAAAACGCGTCGCCGCCGAGCCTCTTGATCGGCCGGATCCTCCCCCGTGGGACTTTTGCTCAAATCGCGCCGGGGCGCGGCCGGCGATTTGCAAACGCGTGTCCGGAGACTCGCGCGCGGCTCCGCCTTCACGCCACAAATTCCGCTGGTTCAAAAAAAACAAAACATTTGCGATTTGTTGAATGAAATGAGCAACCGATCGATCATCTGCGTTTGGGCTGCAGGCAAAGCGAAGCGCGGCGCCTTGTCGGAGTTGACGGGATCCATGAGCCGCGCGGCGGGAAAGACCATCAATCAAATCATCACCTTCTCCAAACGCAAGCCGCCCGTCCTCAGCGCTCGCCGCGACGACCCCGGCTGCGGTGAGGCTCGTCGTCGATCGGGCCGCGGCGCGGCGGGCCGACTGACCTCGGTGCAAAACTCGCCCCCAGGATATCTCGGCGTGTGCGTGGGCGGAGTCTGGAAGGAGTGTTGGTGCACGGTGCGAGCGGGAAATCTGAATCTGCATCAGGAGCCGGGAGACCGGCGGGCTCCCGTCGCCGCCTTCCCCCTGCGGGGGGCCGAGGTGGTGCCGGGGGGGCTCGGCCCCAAGCGTCCCTTCTCCTTCCGCATCCTACAGGGAGGGGCGGAGCTGGCGGCCTTGGAGGTAATCCCGTCGCACCGGCGTCACTCGGGGCCGACCGATATGGCCGTTCTGATACGCGGCACAATCAAATTCTCATCACCCACCCATTTACCCTCATTTTCAAAACGTGTCATGAAGAATATCATCCCTTTTTTGGCGGGTGGGGGTCTTACCAAAGAAAGAAAACCAATTTTAATGCCTCCTAAGTCAAACAATTGGAATTTTAGACTGACAACATTTCAAAGCGGAGTTTCAATTTCAAAGCAAAGCATTGTGGGAAATACACAGCAAACGTTCCGCTTTGAATTTGAAGGCCAGACTTCAAGTGGAAGAAAGCGAATTGAATGGCGGTCGCGTCAATGTTGAGCGCCGCGGTCGGAACGGGCGCTGAGGTTTGCGCGTGTGCTCAGGCCGGCTGCTCGCAGAGTCTGGGCCGCTGGCTGGGCGTCCTGTTGGCCGAGACGGGCGGCGGGGCGCTGCCCGATGAGCTCCACTACGACTACGTGGACGTGGACACGCTGACGGACATCCGCCACGCCGCCAGACGCTCCTTCCTGTGAGACGCCGGGACTCGCCGGCGTGCGCTCCCTCCGGTCCGCGGCTTCCTTTCATTCTTTTTCTGCCTCCTTCCCTCCCTCGCTCTCAGATGGGCCACCGCCGCCGTCGTCTCCACGTACGACGAGGTCTACGAAAGCGTGGAGGTGAGGTCACCGTCCGCGGAATGTCTCCGGGCCCAAGAGCATCATTGGCTTTTTAACTGACTGACGGAGTCAGGGTACGAAGAATTGTCATGTCCCATTTTTGAAAAGATAAAATAGGACGTGGCTAACGATGTCGTGTTTCGGGAACAAGAATGGAGTGAACGATCCCGCGCGCAGCCTTCTGAAAAATCGTGACCATGTTTGACAAGTCAAACTATTTGGATTTTACACAAAGATGTTCTGAAGAAAAGTCGAATCATTTGAGTCGTTCAAATTCCTCAGAAGTCAAACAGTTTGGATTTCGAAGCGAAATACTCCTGGAAAAATATCCCCAGGAATCTTCAAATAATAAACCTCAAAACTCACGCAGAGAAAATGCGAAAATTGGACCAAAATGATCCTGAAACTATGCGGCAAAATCAAACGGTGTCGAATTTCAAGACAGTACTATATGCCCGAAAAGTCCAACTCTTTCAATGTTCAACA